ACTCTTTCGAAAAAGCAGATCGCTTTTTCGATGTGCTGTGGCAGTGTGGACGCTCTCTTTCGGAAGAAGTTTTTTTGGAAGATCTCTTCCAGAAAAGCTTCTTCTGAAAGAAGCCTGCAGTCTAGACATAGCCTGGGGGTAGGCAGCTCCGGCTCTTCCCCCTGTCCCTCCCCTGACCACCAAGAATACCATGGGCCAAGGCTAAGCCAGCCCCAGCTCTCCTTCTCCCCCCCCCGCCCCACTCCAGCTGCCGGGGAGAACTGAAGAAGTTTTTTTGGAAGATCTCTTCCAGAAAAGCTTCTTCTGAAAGAAGCCTGCAGTCTAGACATAGCCTGGGGGTAGGCAGCTCCGGCTCTTCCCCCTGTCCCTCCCCTGACCACCAAGAATACCATGGGCCAAGGCTAAGCCAGCCCCAGCTCTCCTTCTCCCCCCCCCGCCCCACTCCAGCTGCCGGGGAGAACTGGACCAACGTGTGGCCCCTGGGGAGGGCCAGGCTAGGAGTGGATGGGGCTTGGCTCCTGTGGACACTGATGATGTGATAACATCATTCTGTTGTCCCGCAGGAAAACTGATATATAGCGAGAGAGAGAGAGTGCTTGAATACTGCAAGTACCATGGTGTTAGTCTCCATCCCTAGAGGTGTTTAAGTCTCGGCTTGACAAAGCCCTGGCTGGGTTGATTTAGTTGGGATTGGTCCTGCCTAGAGCAGGGGGCTGGACTTGACCTTCTGAGGTCTCTTCCAGCTCTATGGTTCTATGATTTTAATTATCTACCTCATTGTGTGTGTGTGTAACTGCAGCAGGTTCCCTTTCTTAGCTAGACTTCTTAATATTATTTCACTATTGCTGAGGTTTGCTGTACCTATAGGGAAAATCAAGCTGAAAAGTCTGTGGTGCTGATTAGCATACAATGGTGGCCCTTCGCAACCTGCCAGATTCACATCAGCTAGGGATAGGTACGCTGGGATCTTTCCATTCCTTTTTATTTCTCTCTACTTCCTAGAGGAATACCTGGAAATGGCAGATTACCAAGCTGCAGTTGAGGGTTTGTTTGTTTGTTTGTTTTTTATAGCCAGAACTGGACATACTAATGGCCACTCTTCGACGCCCCTTGGTAGCATTTCATGACTGGAATGAATATGGTTGAACAATCTCTCTGGCCTGGCCATTGCTGTACCAAAGGGTTTAAGCCCAGGTCTTCCAGGGTATTTAGGCCTCTAACTCCCATTGACCTCAGTGAGAGGTAGGCACCTAAATACTTTGGAGGATCTGGGTTTCAGAGGGTTAAATTCATTCTGCTACACAATGGGAAAAATTAGAGGGAACACTGACCCTAAGCTGGCCACTTCCAGGAGGGCAGGTAGGGAGCCTTCCTTAGCCCTGCTCCATCGCTGACCAGGAGCTGCTTGAGGTAAGTGCCGCTTGGCCAGAGCCAGCTCTTCTCACCCCACACACGGCGCCAGCCCTGAGCCTCTTTCTGGAGCCAGCAGCCTGCACCTCCTGCCACTCCTCTGCCTCAGCCGTGAGCTAAGATCCCTGCAAACTGTGCAGCTGCCTATGTAGCGCCACGCCGGCACTCCAGCCTGACCCAGCTCCTGCCATGGCTTGGACAGACCGACCTTCATCCGGCCTCTTCCGTGGCCTGGCCAGCCTGATGCCCTAGTCCCAACCCTGGCATTGCCTGGTCCCCGAGGTCCACTGCCGCAGCTGGGTGGCCTGGCTCTGGAACCAGGCCTCTGGGGCTGGAGCTGCCTGGCCCCAGAGGCCCTCTGCTGCGGCTCCATAGCCCGGGTTCCATAGTCCTGCTGTTGTGGCCCAAGTGGCCTGACCCAGAGACCCTCCTGCTGTGGCCCAGGAGCCCCCCTGCCATAGCCAGAGCAGCCCAGACCCAGAGTCCCCTTGCCATGGCCTGGGCAGCCCTGAGCTCCTCAACTCCAGCTTCACCCCAGAGCCCACACTCCCATCTGGAGCCCTCACACTCTTACACCCTAACCCTCTGCCCCATGTCTGAGCCCCCTCCCACACTCAGAACCCCTCGGGCTCTCCCCTGCCACATTAATTCCCATCTGTGCGCAAATATGAAGGGGATGTGTCGCCCATACCCGCCACACTGGGGCTCATAAGAAAATTAATTCCACTTAGGGGTGGGAAAAATTAGAGGGAACTCTGGCACTGAGCCCCTGTGCTCCAAACCCCTTCCTGCACCCTTAGCCCATGCCCCAGCCCCAGTGAAGGTGAGGAAGAGCCAGGGCACGATGAAGGAAGGGGCCTCAGAGAAGGGACAGGGCAGGGCCTCGGAGAAGAGGCAGGGGGCGAGGCAAAGGTGTTTGGGTTTGAGTGACGAGACAGCTGGCAACTCTAGTGGGGCCAGGATTTCCACTCTAAAGACCTGATCTTACAGCCTTCAGGTCAGTAGCTTCATTGACACCTTCAGTAAAGGGGTCTATGGGCTGCGTTGTGATACCCTCACTCAGACTGAATCACACCTACCAGGTGCAAGCTGTGAGTAGTAAGTCACAGTCAAAGTATTAGCCCATCAGGCGCCTTCTAGATATGTAACCAAACCTGTTTTGCTTCCGTTGAAATGTTTCCCACTGTTTCCACCCGTAGAAAAATCGGTTTGTCTTACTGAACAAGAGGAACTCCTCTCTAATGCACGTCCACAGATTGTTGGGGGGGTCGCTGAGGAGCAGGGCTGACGGGGGAGATTTAAAAAGCAAAACCAGCCTTGTCAGTCAGAAGGAAATGTATTATTCTGTCGTATGGACTCAGAGTCTTGTCTGCCTTCAGTTGCCTGGATCTCAGAAAGACACAGAGAGCTCTGCTGGTCTCTCCGTACCCTGAGCAAAGCTTTTACAACTGAGCAGGCTCTGACAGGGTAGCTGGAATGTGAACGTCCCTAATGAGCACAGCAGACCTTGCTGAGATTAAGGCAGATCATTCACAAGGCCACATTCCTATCACACACTGCAGTATATTAGCTGAAACTACCGGAACAATACCAGCCACTGAATGGAAGCGGAGTACTCACCGTCAGTAGGACTGCAGCGGGAGTTAAAGCTGAGGGGTCTATGGTTGTTTTTCCAATAGAATGTATAGGGTAGAAAACCTGTGATTTGTGGTGTTTACGTCTCTATTAGGATAATGCCTCAACAGAGATCGGGGACCTGTTTTGCTTGGCACTGGGTCTTCGTATAGTAAATGACTAGAGCCTTGCAAATCCCTGAATATCCGCTTTATATCCGCAGGTATCCGTGGGTGGGGACATGCACAGCTCATTTTTGCAGCTACAGATGCAAATTTTGTATCTAGAACCTTGTGAATGCGTGGCTATCCACTGTATATCCATGGGTATCTGCATCCGTGGACGTGGTTGCAGATATCCCCGGATCGTTAATGCAGAGGCAGATACCAATTTTGTATCCCCGCAGGGCTTTACAAATGACAGCCACTGCCCCCAACGTATTTACAGTCTGAA